GGTACATCTGGTAACCAAGCAACTAACTTTTCGCCGTTATTTGGGCTATGGTGTAAACTCGTCTCGGTGACTCGCTTTAACACACTTTTTCTGCGCTCGAGACGATGCATTCGTTTGATTACGCCCTTGATTTCTGTCAATCATTTATGGCCTACGGAAAATTTAAAAGAAAGGACAATTTTAGTTTATTAGTTATATTAATCCACTGTACCGTACAATTGGTAGACCATTCCCCGATTCAGAGATCGTCATGACTGGTATACGCCACTACTATCTATCATTTTTTGGTAAGTTTGGCTGTAGTGGCAATTTAAGAAAGACAACAGCGGTTTCTGGTCTGGTGGCTTTGGCATAAAAGTCATATTAACAGGTACCCAATGACATAGCAGTCTGACCGCTGTTGCCATTCAAGAAACGGATATTCCCTTTTTTCGTATCTTAGCCCACGCCTCCAAATGCAGACTGATTTCTGTTTTGTTGCTGAAGGTTGTATTTGCGTAAGCGTGTGACCAACTGTAACTGAGACAGTTAGTCACGCTGTTTCCTGCAGAATAAAGCAGGAAATATTGACTTTTTTCGGAATATTTTATAGTCAGACATCTAACTGGGAAAGCTGATGACAAACACGTAAATCAAAACTAAAAAAATATAAAGCGTGAAAACGGTTTGCACTCATGTAATGGTAAATCAGTAAATGTTGAAGTTAACAGGAAATTTCGCGCTGGTTTAACCGTTTAAGCACTGTGTTGTACAATTATACAATTAGTAGTCGCCGGAAGTCGATTACCGTTTTTAACAAAGCCTCACTGGGTCCTTTTTTCCGCTGGGAATAACCTGCAATCGCTGTTGGACATTAGCTTAATGTTAGAATTTTAATGCCTTTGGTGAGATGTGAGCCTGTCCCCGTACGCCTTATGTATCGTACCCCGGAGCGTTTTATTTGGACCGGCAATACATGAAAAGAAGGTCCGAGTTGAGTTTAGTTATCGTAATCGCTTTACTGCTTTAAAGTTTGTGTTCAGGTTAAGGGATATTTACTATATGTACTTCGTACCGCAGAATTTTTTTTTCTGCGCAGACTCAAATACACAGATTCTCAGTTCTATTAATTAAAATGCCATACTACATAGCTAACACAACGGCAGCAACTTCAGTCATGGTGTTATGAAGAGTTCTTGTACAAGCGAAACGAATTCGAGCGAGCGGGAGACTGCAGTTAAATTTCTCCCCACCAAAATACTTTACCGATCCAACAGTCTTCGCTTTGAAGAGAAGCCATTCCAGATATTTTGCGTATTCCGAAAAGTAAACAAATCTGATGTTGCTGAATATACAGTAATTTTAAAACATGTGTCGGATTTTACTTTTCGAAAATGATATCTGTCCATGTGCACCGTACAACCGGTTGCCGTAACACTAGGGCCCGGTTGCCGTTTAGCTTCGCTAGAATAAATTTGCACCTGCAAGTTATAACCCATTGTTACCAAATTTAGTACTGTACCAGCGCGAGCTTAACCCTTTAAGTGATAGAAAATTGTCCCAGACGGCCCGCACTAGGCGTCGGCTTCTTGGACATTACTTAAATTCATACGCGTAAATTGTTTTTACATGAATGTATCATGTATCGTAAATCAATTTCTGCTTTTCCAGAAGGAAGATCTCCTTGTAAACCAGCAGCAAATACTGAAAACGATCAAAACAATAATAAAAAATAATGGCTAATAATAAAATAATGCACAATGAATATAATGAAATAATGCAAATAATGGGAACGATTTGCTTATTGTACCATTCCGACAACTGAACGACCAGCGTGATTCCTCCCATACATCCACATACGTAAAATACACTGACACTTAAAGACAACAGGAGAGCCTTGGACAGTGGAATCTGTAAATTTCACTACGAAGCGATACGCCGATATTCGCCAAGCACCCAAACCTACGCCTCAGTGTGCTCAAACCCGTTCGGGGCCCTACGGGGCCAGTATTCTCTGCACAATGCAAACCATTAGTTAATCACATCTACCATGTAATAATCCCAACAAATGTGTTACTGTCGAGTGGAACATTTTAGTTACCATAAACTGATTTCGATAAGAAATGCGAGTGCGAACTGCAAAACTGGCGAAAGAGCCTACGAGGGCCATCAAATTCAAATGGACAAGCTGCAGTCTACAAGAAAAAAGGTATGAAACGGTCTTCCCGTAATGCTACAAAGCACTAAAGATAGATACAGGAAGGAATCACCTACACATGGAATTCTAAAGGAGTTTTCAGAAATCCCGAAACCTTCAGGGAATGTCGCTTTCGCAGGCACGCTAAAATTCTGCCTTCTTTCTTTTCCAGTGGAAAATCCAGTTAGTGGGCTTCATTATTGCGCATCTCGATTTTACCAACCACTTGTGAGCGCTTTCTAAAAGTACGGTATGTAATTAAGCGGAGTTACTACTCGTTTGCACCCCTTTTGCTAGAAAAAAAGCCACGAAGGGCTCGTAAACAGTTCCATAGTGTACGTTACTGCTTTCAATGCTCAGAACATTGAACTACACTGATTTAAACTCAAAATGTGCGCGCAATAACCGGGTGTTGTGCTATCACCGGAAAAAGTTTAAAAAATCAAACGCGTCAAATAACTCAGCTATCCACTCGAACTTTATGAAACTTTCCCATATGACAAAACCACATATGAAGGACATTCTGAACCAAAATCGTGATGTAATCTTAAAACAAAGGTACAGCGAATTTTCAAATATTTTAAACTCGTATAACTCGGTGAATCTACTTCGGATAACCTTTATTTTGGTTCAGAATGTGTACAGGAATATACTCCATAAGATGGAGTTGTCAGACTTAAAATCGAAGAAAACGCTGAGTTATTTGATCCGTATTTGTAACTTTGAGAAATTCAACTTTTTGTGTTGGGCCAGATAGGCCGGAGAGCAGACTTATTCTTGGTGCGACTGCTGCGTATCCTGTTGTGTCCTGGTCTCATCAGGTCACGTATTGTTCCGCTGAGCAGGAATGGCTTTCTGGCACTGATTTGTGAGTCAAGCGCAAGCAGGGAATGGGGATGCACATGCTAACAGGGCACTAAATCTCATTGTTCTACCTGATCATTTATGACAGAGTGCGCGTATTCTGATTCTTATATAAACAAGGCTGTCGCTTGTTAGCTTCTTGTGGCTTATGGTCAGCAAACTTGCCGCTATCCTGAACAGAGATATTCTCCTCTACTGCGCAGTATTAAAACCTTGTTAAAGATTTCTACCCTATGACAGTTTTTAAAATAACTGCTTGTGTACAATTTTTTCACAAAGACGTAATTCACATCAGTAGATAGAAAAATGAATTCTCTATCGATTCCTGTATAGTTTAATATGGTCTAATTTGAGTGGAAATTCACCTTAAGGTAGGACGAAAGAAACAAAGCCTGACTTCTGGCTCAGTCGACTCCGGAAGCTGGCGTATGGCTGAATGCCTCGGCCTTAGCGCACATCGGTAATTTTCTCGAGTACGTTAAAGTAAAGATCTTGAATATCTATCGGGCGGAGACTACTCAACTCTGCGCTAAATGCAACATTGTGTACGGCCTCCCTGGATTGTCCTGATCTTTTTCTGCTGCAATCCATTGCGTCAGTATGGGATTAATAGTCCCTGAGATTATTACGTGTTAACAAACCCTTGAAAAATCCGATTCCGGATCACCGGCGTGGTTAATGGCGGCACGTTCAAAGTACGACTGCATCAAAATTGTACTCAAGGGGTTTGCATTCATGCTTGTGCTCGTGTGTCCAGTTTCCAATCTACACCAGCTGAGCAAGGATGTGCTCAGGCGAAAACTCGCATAAAAACTATTCCTGTCATGTTTCCTTCACTTATTTTGAAAAATGAAGCTGCTCATTAGAGATAGAAGAAAGTCATATCTAAGCATTAAAAATGGCGTATTATCGTAGAAGACACGGTCACCCTGACACACTCTGCTGCAGTATGATGAACCTTGCACTGGGCGCGCATTTTCAACACTTCGGATTCTGCAAGAATTTAAAGGAGCGAATGAACATAAAAACATGTTATAAAACCCGGCCTTTCGACTTCGAATTTAGATTTTTAATCGAATTTGTTTATTTAATGCGGAGCTAACTCGGTTTCGCCCGATTCCAATCCACTAACGCACCGGTATAGGCGCAGCGGAGATAATCTGTTTTGGTACATTCGTTGTAGTACTCTGGTACATTCGTTGTCGTTTATAAACGCCGTTTATAAAAATTTATCAAGTAAAACAGGGAAGTTTTTTATATCTCAATCTAAAATTTCGCGCAACGCAGATATCGCTGAATTTATTATACCCTTCTAGCGTTACTAGTAACCGTCTAATGATTCCTATGGTAGCTACTCCGTATTTCAGTATCACCTGGACGTTGCGATCACAACATTCGATGATTACTGGTTACGGAGTGTCTGTTCCGTTCTGCAGCTGTGCGCACGACCTGGCACAGTAAGTGTGGCGTAGTGCAGTGGCACTGACGTCACGAGAATGTTGTGTCCTCTGTGACCTCTATGTAGTGTGTTGTCCAGCATGGCAACTGCGGTTGCAGTGTGCCACTGTTGTCCTGATGACAACAATCAGTTGGTTGTTTGCGCCCTCAGTGGCGGTTCATAATAAATACATTATGCCGCCACCTTCAAGTCGTGACAGTAAGTAACTGAAATCTGCGAACCCATCAATGTGCATTCTTCCCTTTCTTTAGGCGCCGTCAAATATCTCGACAAGCTAGTACATAATTCTAATTATAAAACTTTGTATTCTGTGTTAAGCGAATGTATTCTGTGTTAAGCGCTAGTAAAAAATGCGGTGCCTGTGCGTTCACCACCACCAAAATAAAAATGCACATGCATAATTTCCAGATTTAAAATTATACAAATGTTGGCTAAAAAAGCGACGACAAAGATCTTGCTGGAGAACACCTTGAACACCTTCATATCTGAGATTATGGGAATCTGGGTTCTATGGCGTCACCTTCATATCTCGCTTGCAGGATAATACATGGCTGCTGTTTACGATTTTGTTGTCAGCCTGAGATTTTAAGTTTTCGAACATAAGAACTTGGGATTGTTTTTTCCGGCAAAATTAAGTAAGTACTCGTATGGTTAATGTATGTTTCATTGTTGATACGCGTAAGTTTCTGGATAGATTGACCACATAACTACAGTACTGTAATGATTTTCGGTCCAGCACTTATAACGTAACGTATGGCATGTGTCTAAAGATCCGAATATTATTACAGAAATATATTTTTACCGGCAAACCCTTGCCAGTTGTCGGTAATACCGTAATAGGTATATGTACCGTATATAAGGGGAAAAACTTAGCGCCTTCCATCGTTCCCCTGTACTGCTGCCGTCAGCCGCCTGGGGTGTGACGTAATACGGCATTACATATGGTTAAATCTGGCGCTGCCGTAAGCGCCATGTTCAGCAACAACGTCAAACTCCAGCCGGGTGACGGCAGCAGTACAGGGTAACGGTGGAAGACGCTTAGTTTTTCCCCCTGTATACTGTGCGCCCTGTTACAATAAGAGCGCTTTTATTAACAACACACAACAGATGTTATAAGTAATACCTTAGCAACGTAGTAGCCCCGGGACCGAAAAGCATGCCTTCTGAAGAAGTATATTGAAGAAAGTGCTGTACTCGTACTAAGTGCTGTGATACGGAAGAATGTGGAACCCAACCCCTTTTCTGGAATTTATTTATGGTTATCGATTCCGTTGTTTGACAAAAAATTATTATTAAATTAAGCATGTTTCTCGTTAAACATTATGATTAAGGTGGTCCTTTTCTTTTGCGTAGCAGTTTTAAGTCTTGGTGCACCGAAAGTTTGAACACAAAATCATAAACAAACTTTGCTGAATGGTTAGGGATATGCAAGTCAGTACAAGCCTGTCGAAACTGAAACCATGATTGCCGAAGTCTGGCCCGAAGGCGATGCTCAACGACTGTCCCAAACAGTAAAGGTCAGGGCAACTGACTTCTGTTTTACTTCTGCGTCATTTTATAAAATCCAGTGGTTGACCTGTTGTCTGCAAATCGCCGACTCCCGGATATCCCTGTTTCCGCTAATCAACGACGTCTGCTGAAAGAACTCGGACTGTCGTGACGAAGAAAACATGTGCCTGCGGCTGAAACTGATTCCATTGTTCCAGGACGGTACACGCAGCAATCCGCCGATAGACGACATCGTCACTCGGAAAGGAACTACATTAGTCCCTGCTCCCGTATCAGCGGCATATACAGCACCCTTAAAACAAAGATTGCCGAAAAAATACAGCTGCTTCTGGTTGACTGCACAAGCATTTTTTCTACGGTCCAGGTAATAAGACATCGACAATTCAACGTTATCATCATTGCGACGGCTTTTGTGACCTTTAGCACAGATATTTTTCTTTGGTGGGACTGATACGCCGGAAGAACACAAACAATACACGCAGCATTACCAAAAGCTGATGCAGAAATGTGCCGCCACTGAGGAATCGCTGCTGTACGAGCCGCAGCACCGAGACCAAACAATGCCGAACCTTGGAAGCGCTGGTAGCTAAAGAACTGGAAATAGTACCGCAGCGTCTAATGGACATCATCATCACAGTCTTGGCCGAGAGGCTGGAGAAACACGCAAACCGCTATCAAAGCGCGAGCAGCTGTTCTAACGCGTTTGGATTTTGTCACAATGAATATGAATTTCTACGGGAAATTAGCTGAAGCGGATGCGATGTGGTGTCCAGAAGAAGAGTTGTGCACCAACTTGGACGGCAGCTTGAATACGTAAGTCGATCACACATCGCCAGGCTCGCAATCTTTTTGATAATACGCTAATTAAAGCTTACACTCTCTTCAGCTCTCTTTGGCTGATAGATGCGTTATCATTAATTTTTTGACCCGAGAGTTGTTTTGGAAACTTTTCTGTCTATCCTCAACAAATCAAGCAAGTCTAACAAATTTTCAAATAATTATAATAATATTAATCTTGTGACAGTTTTTTTCTATTTAGCGCAGTTTCAAACGGCTGCCGCTTCGCTCGGTTGCCTTCGCCCCGAACAAGCTACCCCACCATCGCTCTCCGTTTACGTGAAGCTCCAGCCTCCAAAGACTTCATTCATCCGGTAAAACCGGAAATCTCACCCTTTGCCGCAGTGGCTACCAACATTGAACCTACAGTTGGAGTACAGCTTATTTATTTGTGAGTTATCGCCGATTGCAGGAAACGCTACTGGGAGTACACCCTCTCAAAGGTGACGCTGACCTTCCTGTCCAAATTCATACGGTGCACCGATGCTTTTTTACCGAGAATGCGATAGGATTCCACCAAACGACATTAAACGACCGCTCATGCCGCCGCCATCGTAGCTCGAGCACCCTCGGCGCTTGGGGATACACCAGCGATGTAGCGGCGGCCTCGAGCACCGTCGGCGCATGGGGATATGGGCGAACTTAATCCCGGACCAGCGCTGGACACCAGCGGCGGCAGATTAGTTACCAGCTGGTGTTGATCTTGCCTGTAAGAAACTGAGAATACTACACTAGCGCATGTGGACCTAAACGAGATACGGCATGCCGGACTCCGAGAGTTCCTGCACTTCTACCGCCAGATGTAATTAACCCGGGTTTATTTTGCCGTGGAAGAGGAGGAAGAGCAACACAGTACAGAAATCGCAGCATCGCAGCAACAACAACTACTTAAACTGGAAGCGGTAGGCTTGATGCAACTTTGTGAACGTTTTTGAAGTGGTGTGCTGGTGTGCTTGGTATTTATTTCAGAGACTTTTAATTTGTTACGTAACCTACGTCATTTATTTTGTCTCAAGGTCGCAAAATATTGGCTTTTTGGTGATAGCAATGTCGAATAAATTTGGCTTCACACAGTTTATTAAGTACTGTAACTCTGGCATACAAGTGATACAACGATGACATGACTTCTTCATAGATTAAAATCAACATTGATAAATTTCAGTAGTAATCTCAAGCAGAACTGCATAATTTAATATTAAGCCCTAACTTAATAGCTGATAACTTGGTAGGACATGCACGTGCATGTCCATGTCGGTAGGACATGCACGTGCATGTCCACCCAAATTCGTGGACATGCACGAAGACTTTCGCTTTCGCTCCCTCCCCCAGACACGTGTTTGCTTCGCTTTATGACGTTTTGTAGCCAGAAGATTTGCGTACACTGGCGTGAAAACCGTTTGTCCGCGCAACATCCGGTTCGGGAGTTATGGCTGTTAGAAAATTCCAACAAGTTTAAATGCGTTCAGGTGTACCAAAAGTCTCATTATCGACCGATCTCCCTCAAATTTTGCAACCAAATGCATGTAACCATGAAAATCGTTTCTGCATCGATCCAAACTTCCATGATTTTTTTCAAATTTTAAAATGAATTTTAAAATGTTTGAAATTCATTTTAAAATTTGAAAAACATGCTAGAACAGTGGATCGGTTTAAAAACGTTCTTCGTGGTTATGTGCATCTACAGGCAAAATTCGAGGGAGATCGGTCCATAATGAGGCTTTTGGTACACCTGAACGCATTTAAACTTCTAGGAATTTTCTAACAGCCATAACTCCCGAACCTGATGTTGCGCGCACAAACGGTTTTCACGCCAGTGTATACAGATCTTCTGGCTACAGAATGTCATGAACCGAAAAAAAAGTGTTTGGGAGTGCGCGAAAGTAAAAGTTTTCGTGCATGTACTCGAATTTGGTACCATGCACCGGCCCGCTTCCCTTAACTCCCTGGAGCCGAATAATTTAGGATTTTTCTACCGTTCTCAAGTTATTCAAAAACGCTACGTAAGTTCAGACAGGGGCCAGAGGCCGAGGCTCCGCCTGTTATAGCATTAAAATTACTACCAACCGGAATGTGAGCATTAATTAATCGAGGAATATTGCCTTCAGTATAACAAGATAAAAAACTGTGGCAAACTGACAATCGCTCTTTCTTAAGCAGTTACAAAAAGAATAGCCTGTGAATCGCAGAAAAGTCCCACGGACGCTATTGCAGCGCTCCTCTGCCAGCTTCATCCAAAGGCAAAAGCGATAACCTTTTGAACCTATTGGTCGCAGGAAGAGCTTACACGTGAAAGTTGATTGTTGAGTAAATCACTTAATTTTGAAAAAAACTGCCACCAGCGTTATCTCACAAATATTTATACTACATCCGGTAACAGAAAACAACACTGTGCATGTTTGCATTCGTTGGCGGTGATCGACGCTCAGACACCACGGGTAACACAATGCGTGAGTATATATGGCCACCGTGCTTGTGTGCAAATGCGCATCCGGTAACAATACAACAGTGACATGTTGGTGGCCGTTGCACAGACATCGCGAGTTACATACAGATCTAGTGTATTGCGTGAGAATACCATATATGGGAACCGTGCATTGCGCATCCGTAACAAACGCCAAATTACATGTGTGCATTTTTTTTGTGGTGGTGAACGCACAGGCACCGCATTTTTTACGAGCGCTTGACACAGAAAACCTTCGCTACGCGGTCGCTAATTGAATATTAAGTATTATATATGTACTAGCTTGTCGAGATATTTGACGGCGCCTAAAGAAAGGGGAGAATGCGCATTGATGGGTTTGCAGATTTCAGTTACTTAGTAGGCCAGGTCGTGCTTACAGCCTGCAGAACGGAACAGACACTCCGTAACCAGTAATCACCGAATGTTGTGATCGCAACATTCAGGTGATACTGAAATACGGAGTAGCTGCCATAGGAATCATTAGACGGTTACTAGTAACGCTAGAAGGATGTAATAAATTCAGCGATATCTGCGTTGCGCGTAACTCTAGATAGAGATATTCAAAAAAGTCCCTGTTTTAGTTGATAAATTTTTATAAACTGCCAAAGTACTACAACGAATGTACCGAAACAGACTATCTCCGCTGCGTCTATACCGGTGCGTTTAGTGGATTGGAATCGGGCGAAACCGAGTTAGCTCCGCATTAAATAAACAAATTCGATAAAAAAATCCAAATTCGAAGTCAAAATGCCGGTTTTCCTACATGTTTCAAGCCGAAATGCCCGAAGCCGAAATGTCTTTATGTTCAATCGCTCCTTTAAATTCGGCAATATAATTCTGTCTTGCGAACCATGGATATGGTGCTTAAACAGACGCTTGCATTCGGAGGTCTGCACTTACTGGCTTGCAGAACCCGAGGTGCTCAGAGTTGTGTGCCCAGTGCAAGGTTCATCGGTATTGCAGCAGAGAGTGTCAGGGTGACCGTGTCTTCTGCGATAATACGCCATTTTTAAAGCTCAGATATGACTTTCTTCTTTCTCTAATCAGCAGTTTCATTTTTCAAAATAAGTAAGGGAAACATGACAGGAATAGTTTTTATGCGAGTTTTCGCCTGTGGTATAGATTGCAAACTGGACACAAGAGCACATGCATAAATGCAAACCCCTTGAGTACAGTTGTAAAGCCGGTGACATTCCCGTAAACAAAGATGCCCTCATCCAAGGGTCACCGTACTTCGCCGCCATATTGAGCGGAAACTTCCATGAGCGCGACACCGCCAGTATCGAGCTGCAGCAACCGGACAACGTCCATCTGGAAAGCCTGGTCAAATTGGTGAAATGGCTGAGCAGTGGAGGCCGCATTTACCAGTGGTCTATTGAACGCAAAGACGACGTCCGAGTGTGGATCGCCGCCAAATACCTGCAGATGGAAAAAGCCGTGGAAAGGGCCGAGGATATCCTGGGTGGGATAATGCAGCGACAGGAGAATGTGTACCGTCTGTGGCGGTTGGCTCGCCGGGAGTCGTACGAGTCTGGCGGTGACCGACGGACGGACACCACACATCTTTCATAATCGCCGATCATAGAATGCCTTCGCTACGCTTCGGCCGAAAATGCGGCCTTGAAAGACGTTTTAAGCTTTTTCTTCGTTCAGGTCTAGCTATTCCGGACGTAAAGCATGTTATCAACTGAGATTTGCCGCGCATGGCGGACGACATGGACGAATACGTCAACCTCTTCGGACGAACTGGTCGCGTCGGCAGCCAAAGTCTAACCACCGCTTTTTACACATCCCGGGACCGGGATGCTAACATTGCCCCGCGCCTAATCGACATCCTGCACGGCTCGGGAGCACGTGGTCCTGATTGGCTGTACGAAGAAGCGGGAATGACATTCCCGGATTCAAATTCAAAGTTAATTTAAAGTTAATTCACAGTTCAATAAAATAAACTGAAACAGAATAAAACAAAGTTAATTGGTTTGCAGGTCATCCATCGTACATTGAAGCTAGTGCTACGATAAATTTCTGGTATATCCAACTGACGCCGGTATAAAAGGCTGTGTTAATGAAGCAAAAAAAAGTTGGCTGCCGTGCATAAGTCATTTAAGAATCTGTGCACATATATGAATTTTCTGCCAGTGCTGCCTTAAGCCATTAACGCTAGCTTCTAGAAATTAATCGACCGGAAAAGGAGGCACTGGGTACTAGGTAAAAATCGTCGTCGTTGCACTCTAATGTACCGTGCAACATTGCCGGCAACATAATGTGGCAAAAACTCAGTCGTTGCGGCCGCTGCTTTAAGATATTGCAGCTGTTCTTAGTTCATACTATAAAGATGCCCCCTTTTAGTACTATTTCAGATTAATTTTATGCACCACCGCGAGAGAAAATGCTTACTTGTAGTAGTTATTACACCCTACAGCACCATTGCAGGGCCGTAACTGCAGCCTATTGCAGTAGTTTTACAGCGCAGTATTATTGAAAGTATGGCAATACAGTATCTTTAGGATGTTTGAAAGCATGTTCGTCAGTTCGCGGTCTTGAATTGGAGTGCCCACAAGACGCGCTGCGCTAACTGCTTTATGGAGCGCAAGTCTGCGAATCTGCGGCGCTGCCGCGGCTGCCACCTGTGAGGCCAACTACCAACGAGCGGGCTGCACGCGCGACCACTAAGTGGAATGTCAGCGGCTCCGCTGGATGAGCAGTATGTCCTGTCCGTAGACACCGAGTTCGACCACGACTGCAGTGTCCTTGAGTGTCGGGACTTCGAATGCGGCACCATCTCCAATCTATGACGAAGATTATTCTGCGTCACAACTCTTTCCGTCGAAAGGCATTCGCCGCCGGCGTCCCGCCCACGCTGACCGTCCTCGTGCACAACGACGGCAGCTACGATCGGTACCTCATCAAAATTCAGCCATTAGCGCGGACCATGCACAACATCATGGCCGGGATGGGCGGTCCCGTCAACCGTGTCGCGATGGCCGGTGACATGGCAGAGTGTATTTTCCTGTAAAAGCATTATTTACCACGCCTTCGCCTTTATCCAGGGCAACGCGGTGCCCTTCGAAGCCGGCATCTTTCCCGCGGCGCTGCAGCGCGCCATGACGCCGGTGTTCTGGAATGCCAGTATCAGCCCTAGCTTTAACCTGACGAAACACCGCTTGCACGGGCGCAGGCAGATGTCCAACGCCAAATTTACTAAGTGGGCTGCCCTGCCTGCGAGTATTGGGACGGCTCGAAATCTTTTAGAAGCTGAAAAAAACGATTGTATCTGTTCCGGTTGGTACACTGTGCCGTTAATGCTAGCAGTGCAGCGACGAAAAACCGGGAGACGTAATTCCGTTGCGCTGCAGCACTCAGGACTGTACCCATCGTATTTCGAGCAATGGGTGCACTCGTCTACCGTTGCCGACCGCCTGGAGCAGCAGCGCGGATATATCCCTACGCCCATTTTCGGTTGTTTTTGGAAGCCGCGTCGCCTGTCGTTACATGCAAAACGGCCGCTACGGATTTTGCGGCGTGCGCGCGGGCCTGGTTTTCGAAGTCTTGAAAGTATTGAAGCCCTTTCAAACTACTGTATTGCCATAAGGTAAGAATGTCAGA